ACGGCGTCGATGATCTGACTTGACTTCGTACACGGACCATTGCGAGGAACCGTGAAGGCCAACAACTTGATCATAGCGATGTAGAAGCACTTGAAGCGCCTGATGGAAACGTTCCGTAGGAATGGACGTGAAGAAGCCTGACAAGTCTTGCGATACCAGGTGGATGTACTCATCAGGATCTGCTTTTGACAGTGCTTCCCATAGCTGCTGGATAAGTTCTTGTACGGAAAGTTGACCTGCAATGTCGGGGAAAGCTGCCTTGGTGAGTTCAAATATGAGCGCACCGAAGACCGTGAGGAAGGGAGCCGCCCATGTGCGAAAGAATGAAATAATGGGTCGAGCTTTCTGCCAGTCCTTGGTCGGCTTTGGAAGGATGCGCGCTGTGGGCAACGGTGCTTGAAGTCGAAGTCCCCATGCGTATCGTTGACGTAGGAGAGAAGGTACCGTGGTTACCACTTCAGAGCGAAACGATGCTGCGGATTCGCGGCAAAGTGAGAAAACATCCCCCGCGCAGAATGTCTTCCGCATCAATATGGCAAACAGGGACGGGCACACTACATGTGCACGGGAGGGAAAATGATCCGCTGGGATAACTACCCAAGAAGACAAAGAGGCCACAGTGCGTTGCAACGATGCCGATGACCAATAAGCCTGATCTTGGAGGTTGATCCGATGGGTCTCCATTAACTGAGCCACGACCGGTTGTAGATCTGGAAGTAGATCGGAACCATGTACATGCCAGCGTCGAGCAAGTTTGCGAAGTTGCGTGGTGTAACGTTGATGCAATAGGTCGACATCACCGAAAAACTGATCCTTCATTGAGGCGGCCATGATCTCCACGTTAATGTCCGCATTGATGCGAGAAAAGTCATCCACCATTACTGCGTGACCATGTGCACGGAGTAGATGGTGGTCATCGATGTCTAAACAGCGACACGGAAAGGATGTGTCAGGCGTCCATTTACGCTGCCATGTGCGATAGTTGTATATCTTGTCGCCCAATGTGGCGCTGCGGGTTTCCACAACCCGGATCTTTGGAATGAAAAGAGAAGGGAACAGATCCCGATGGGAAGCAATCCAGTTTTGTAACCATGTGCCAAGTAGCGCTTTCCAATTTTGGACATGCAGCGGCGGCAAAAGTAGCTGTGTCAGAGTGGAGGGTGGTTGCAGCCGTCGTTTGCGCAGTACCTGGGCGAGTAGCTTCTGGGCCTTGGAGCGGAAGGGTTCGTTGACAAATACTGCGAGCCGCAATAAGTAGTACAGCTGAGTGGGAGGGAAAGCGGCTGACAGTAGGTCACGCATGACTTGGAACGACGCTCCTGTATTCGATCCCAGCTGATAGAGGATCGAGTAGTGGGCTTGAATGTCATCCAGGGTGTCAGGTCGTAGTTGCCGTTGGAGATCCGGATGTAGTCGTCGTCGAAAGCGCTTGTGCAAGCCGATGGAAGTGGGCGTCGACAACGAGTGGCGTCGAAAATCTACAAGATGTTCCCGGAAGCCAACCTTGCGCAAGATTCTGTGTACCCAGGGCGCATTCAAATGCGGGCGTAGCAGGTATTGCCATTTGCTTTCTTGAACCCACACCGAGGAAACTGGAAGTCTGATTTCCACTGGTACAGCACAGAAGAGCCAGTAAGTATTGGATCGTTTCCAGTAGTGAAGCGCCGGTTCAAAGAAGGCATGCCGTCCACGAAGTAGTTGTAGAAATTTGCGACTGCGTGAGTGTTCACGACGTAGAACATCCTGATCAGTCGCCCCAACATAGTATGGTGTGTGCCATGGGGAAAGTCGAATGTAGACGCACGGTTGTTGGTGATGACCTGGATCATGTATGAAGTCGTAGAGGTCAGGAAATCGCGCCCGCAATGAGCGTAGATGTCGCGAGTCAGCGAAAGTCGAGTGCATGATTTCACACAAGAGAGAAGTCTTGTAGAAGTGAAGGACTTCGAAGAACGGCGGGAGGTAGCCGTGATCCTGTGAAATGAGACGTTGTAAGAAACTGATCAATAAATAGGCAGCGCACCGACATCTGTGAAGTTCATACCTGTTGGCCACGGTGTGCTGAGAGTTGGACATGGCGCAATTCGGAATCTGGAGGGCTATCCGGACCACAACTAAGACCTCGAGGATGAGACCCAGCCACGGCAATTGTGTGATGGATTCGTACTCCTCAAGTGGAATCGACGGTGGTGGTAGTCCAGGGAAACAGTAATGCCAGCACGTCGAGAATGTAGTCAACGAGTGCAGAAGGTCGTCCAGCGACTGCCATTGTGCAACATCATCATAGATTCCGCAGTGGCGAAGTTCATCCAACATGGTGAGATGCAACCAACGAAATCTACCACAAGGCGGCGACATAAATACAAGCATCTCAGACAATCACACAAGAGGCAACGCAAGAACAAGCAAGTACAAGATCAATCATGTGCAACGCAAACACTTGACGGACGAATTTTCACCTGGACTCATCCGTGACATTGTTGCCGCTCCGGGCTCATATGAGATCGAAGGTCGAAATGATGCCTTCTCATCCACAAAGCAGGCGAGCGGTCACGATGAGGTGACTCAATGCCTTCTCGGTGAGTTTGGTAAGGTACCCGGGTTCAAGACCCCATAATGCTGCCATTGCACCGAGTGTGGGCGCATCGCCCTTCGGTATGCGCTGCCTGGCCTGAAGAAGCTGCGTCGCCATAGAATCTAAAGACTTGTTGCCGTTGAGCCGGGACGGGTGATTGGCCCACTTAACCAGCGACGCCAAAGTGGTTGTTGTGGGTGCTTGCTTGAGGAAAAGGCGAGGTTGGTCACTGGTCCATGTGTAGTACTTGACAACTTCATCCGGCGTGCTGTGCATGGTGAGCAACTGTGACGCCGCCGGTTTGGACGGCGGTGACGACACTCCGTGAAGAGACTGCATGATCCGAGGTTGCACCACGCTATCAAACGACTTGCCATCCAGGGCGGCCGCGCTGGCTGTGGGAAGGGAGCTGGCAGGTGACGAGGATGGTGTGTGGTTGACCGGTGGCGGTGTAACCAACTCTGCATCATCTTTCTGATTTGTCATCGTGGGCGAGGTCGATGCGCGAAGTGATGCGGAATACTGAGCTTGGAGAAGTTCATGCGCACGATTCAAATCATTGAACTTCTTGACCATGTCATCATTCTGGGCAGCAGGTGCGAGAGAGGTGTGATGTTGTTGAAGAAATTGAAGTACCAGGTTGGCCAAATGGTCGTGGACCTTGATGCGCTGATTGAAGTCATCAATGTTGAGACCCAACGTGTTGGCAAGGTCCTTTTCCAGGGTGAGCAGGTTGAGTAACTGCGATCTTCGTAGTAATTTGGAGCATGTACTCCAAAGTAAGGCCTCAGTGCGAGTGCGAAAGCCTTCCCACGTCACGAATCGGCCGTGTGCAAACGGCCTGAGTAGCCAGTTGGTGAGGCCCCCGTGGATAACCTGAACCAGGCGTACGTCCCTAATATCCATGCCTGACATGTCGCGAAGGTTGCCATGTGGAGTGTTGGCAACAGTCATGGGCAGGCTAAAGTTGTAGAGTTGGTTGACATCAAACATGCCGTCTGCAGGTGTCCAGTCAGGCGAGGGAGTAAGCCAGGCTTTCTGAGGACGAACCGGTAGAGCTGTAGGAGGTCCAGGTGAAGGTGTAGGTGTTGGGAGGTAGTGACCGGTGGTGGCATCATTGGTGGCATGAACTTGGATGGCGTGGGTTCAGGAGGGATCGGCATCATGTAGTTGATCGCCGGGTATTGGAATTGCTGTGTGGGGTTGTGAGTCGATTGAAAGTTGGTAGGCACCATCGGAAAGTTGTTGGCAGCGTTGTAGCCGGAGTTGTGTTGCCATGAAACCAAGTTGTTCCAATCCATGTTCTCCGAGACCTGGTTGTCATTGTGTTCGCGTCGGTGTGCTTTACGAGCTTGAGGGGAAGGACTCCGATCACGTCTGCGTCGAGTCCTGGATCTGTCACGATCATCACGTCGAGACATGGTGACGCACCTAAATCGGAATTTGCACACTTCCACCTTGAGAGAAACGAATCCGACAAAATGCAAGTCAATGCAAGTTCAAGTCAGCGGCGATCAGTAGCAAGTCAATGCAAGTTCAAGTCAGCGGCCATCAGCAGCAACGGTGATAGAAACGAATCCGACAAAATGCAGGTCAATGCAAGTTCAAGTCAGCAGCCATCAGCAGCTATGGTAAGAGCAACGAATCCAACAAAATGCAAGCCAATGCGATTCAAGTCAGCAGCCTTCAGCAGCTATGGTGAGACGTCGCTATGATCTGACAGCTGTCTTCCCTTTAGTGAAACCTCGTTCCTGGTTAAATGTGAAATTCCGCTGTTCTATGATACGCACGTTGAGGTCAAATTTTCCGACAGAGCCGAATCGGGGTCACACAATGGGTACACCCGAGGATTCCCCACGAATGGGGTGTACACACTTGAACTCCAGATGGAGAGTGCTAATCTTTCGAGTACAACTGATGAGTCTCGAGTACAACCGACAAGTCTCGAGTACGATGAGTTTCGGCTCGCAATGCACTTGGCTTCCCTGTAGGTACTTTAACAGGGAAACACAAAACACGGCGGTTCAGGGAGGGGACCAAAAGGACTTTCAGCAACATCACGACGCAGGTACAGGTGTCCACGTCTGGACACCCTTCCCACCTTTGGCAGTAGCTTCATTGCGTGCAGTATGCCAAAGGTGCTGCACGCCCCTGCTGCGAAATAGAAAGGGTGGTGACAGGGCATTCTGTCACTCCGCACACACACACACACACACACACGACCTCTGTGGTGAACAATGATGCAGCTGATCCGGATGGCACACTCGCAATCGTAAGATTGAGCAATGCTGCTACCCCCCCCCCTCCCAGACCAGGGGGGAACCAAGCCGTTTTTGATTGGCATTTTGTTTGATTGCGAGAACCCGCTTGAACGATTTGCCCTATTGACAGGGTGTCATGCATGACTGGTGCGTGTTTGGTCCAGGCCACGCCGTCTCCGCCTGCAAGCCCCAGACCAAAGCTTCTCGGAGCACGATGCGAGACCTCCGCGGTGCCCTTCGCGCGGAATTTTCCTGCGAGAGAGATGGGTGTGGCTCAAAATTAAACAGGAGGGGCAAACCGCAGGTTTTGGTCCATGTTTCCGCTTACCGGGGTTCCATTTTGGTACCGGTTTTCTGAGCCACAGCCAGATGCAGGGTCTCTGAGCAATGGTCTCTGAACCCAGGAATTGGTCCCCAAGGAAACCACCAGCAATGGTATCAATCGGGGGACTCCAATATTTTTTGGTCCGGGTTTTCAAGGAGACCGCCAGCTTTGGTATAAATCGAGGTCAGGCTCCATTTCCCAGAGACCCTTCATCTCTCGCACGGGGAGAAAAAAAACATATCGAGGAATGGGACCCATCAGCTTCCACTTGGCGGAGCCCGGCGTTTTTTTTTTTTTTTTTCTTCGGATTTGAAGCCCAGTTCCTTCTGTGGGGGAGCCCCCAACCTTCCGATCGCAAGTGTTCTTGGTTTTGAAGTCAAACGAGTCCCGATGTGTCCAACCTCACCGGAGGTCTGTTGGCAAGGGACATAGAGCCTGGCAGTGGTTGCGCAGTGCCTGTGTTGGTCATGGGTGCTTTGCTGGGCTTCGGCCCTAGCTGACTTCGCTGCTTTGTGTGCCTTTTTTCTCCGCGGCATGATCTTCAGGCAAAGTTGTGAGAAGGCTCTTGGGGCACAGAGTCTGCACAGAAATGAGCTTGACACTGGGGATTGTCCATGTCTGCAAAGGTATGCAGCCAGATGTTTGGTGGGCTTGCAGTGAGCTCGGAATCCATCCGAAAAGTAGAAAAGTCGCTACCTCTTGCCCATGTCAACAATCTCTGGCTACTGTGCCAGGCCAATGCCAGACGGGTTTTATTGGGTATGCCTGTTTTGAGGCTCGGTGTCATGTTGGTCTCCGCTTTAAAGGGAAGTCACCCCTAGCTCTGTTGTTCAGTGGTGCCCCCTTTTTTCCTTATTTTTTTGGGTAAGGGTTCCGATTCCTT